ATTTTTTGAAGAATCCATAAGGCGTAGATTTATTAAAGAATATTTTTTGAAGAATCCATAAGGCGTAGATTTATTAAAGAATATTTTTTGAAGAATCCATAAGGCGTAGATTTATTAAAGAATATTTTTTGAAGAATCCATAAGGCGTAGATTTATTAAAGAATATTTTTTGAAGAATCCATAAGGCGTAGATTTATTAAAGAATATTTTTTGAAGAATCCATAAGGCGTAGATTTATTAAAGAATATTTTTTGAAGAATCCATAAGGCGTAGATTTATTAAAGAATATTTTTTGAAGAATCCATAAGGCGTAGATTTATTAAAGAATATTTTTTCAAGGGCCAACTGAGGCGTAGATTTATTAAAGAATATTTTTCAAGGGCCAACTGAGGCGTGGATTTATTAAAGAATATTTTTAAAGAATATTTTTTGAAGAATCCATAAGGCGTAGATTTATTAAAGAATATTTTTTGAAGAATCCATAAGGCGTAGATTTATTAAAGAATATTTTTTGAAGAATCCATAAGGCGTAGATTTATTAAAGAATATTTTTTGAAGAATCCTCAAACACTCCAAGAGCTGCCTCATCTGATTGCGTAAGTACCCATGCTTCAGATCCATATAACAGCACGGGTAGTATCAGCGTCTTGTAGAGTGTGAGTTTGGTCTGGCGGGAGGTGGCCTTGCTTTTGAGTTGTTTGCTCAGACCATAGTAGCATTTGTTGGCCATCACTACCTTTCTCTGAATTTCAAAACTAATGTCATTCGTTTTGTTTATGGTTGTACCAAGGTATATAAAATCTTTGACTACCTTGAAGCTGTAGTTCTCAAGTTCCACAGTTGGTCCGAGTCTACTGGACGTCTTGCGCGTTGATACCATCAGCTTGGTATTCTCGCCGTTTACTGCCAGACTCACTTTGGCAGACTCCTTCTCAATTTGTTCAAAGGTGGCTGTTACTGCTCTCAGTGTTCGACCCATTATGTTGACGTCATCGGCGTAGGCGAGTATCATGTGTTGTTTGGTGTACAGAGTGCCATTTCTGTTCACCTTTGCCTCTTGTATGACCTTTTCCAGCAGGATGTTGAACAGGTCACACGACAAACTAGCACCTTGTCTGAATCCTTGTTCGGTATTAAAGGGCTCCGAGAGGTCCTTTCCGACCTTAACTGCTGATCTTGTGCCAGTTATCCTACATAGCTGTATTAATTTTGCAAGATTGCCAAACGCAGACATGGCTTTATGCATCTCTGAACGGATAGGGCTGTCGGATGCGGCTTTATTGTCGACGAGTAGATGGAATGTCTCGATGTGTTTTTCTTGGGTTTTTTCCAGGATTTGGCGCAGAGTGTCTGTCTGAATATTAGTTATAATAATATTTGTTAACCTCTAGACGGTTAAGGGGGAACAAATATCGCGAAGTATTGTCCATGCTCGTGGAAGTTGTGTAGGATATCATATGGTCGGCCCCGTCCGACTCTACTGCTCCGCTCACTAGTTTATAAAATATTTTTAAGTAATCTGAAGATGTGGATTTTTTTATAAAATGTTTTTAGAAGTAATCTGAAGAAATTTTAGTTTATAAAATTCCTCATTCCTAAATAAACACATTTACGATTTTCACTTCATTCCAACACGTAATTCCCTTCGTTAAAAGGAAATAACTTCATATCCTGTTGTATTAATTTCATGTACAGCCATTAACGTTTCTATTTTCAGTCTGAAATCACAATCGGGGCTCATCGACATAATTTGCCATTTTTATATTAGCCTTTACACGAATTATTATGTCAATTTAGGCCATAAAATTGCCTAACCGAGGAGAAAAACGAAAACCAAACAAACGATGTGTCTGAAGTATAAATCGTCTCAGAGTAACTAGATTGGCAATAAAAGGAATTCCACCCTCCTTAGGTCAGGTTATTTATAGCAATCATTAATGAAGCGAAACAAACCTTTAATGGCCAAGCGTATCGGTGTTAATTTGTGGTTTATTTGAGTTTTGGTAGGATATTGCCAAAGAGCATGCACATGTTTGTCCATTGTTTTTTTTTCGGAGGGGGAAATGAAACTATAAAATACAGATGCAGAGGTAAAGGAGGGAGAAGGGGTTATATTAGCTTTGGCTTAGTAATAATTGTTCCTCTTTTGGAGAATGGAGAAGGCAAGAGGTTGTTAAAAATATTCTTTAAAAAATCACGCCTTAAGTTTGTGGAAAAAATATTATTTTAAGAAATCGGGGCCTTAGGTCACTGGAAAACCAGTAAGAGAAGTTCAAAAGTCGGACGGGCCTACTATATGATACCCTTCACCACTTTGGGTACATAAAAGAGATTTTAATATATACAATATCCTGTAGATAGAACATACATAGACTTTTCAGAGGGCTATTAAGACGGAATCGGGCGAAATTAAATGTGCTATCGGGATAGGGCAGACTTGGATTCTTTGGTGTAGCATTTGTATCAAATCGACTAAAATTATGTATGGGAGCTATTTATAAACACATGGACCTAATTCTGCTACCGTTACATACATCATTTGTTTTTTTGTTATCACTCTAAATTCAATTTAATACCATTAACCAAATTTCGTGTAAATCGAACAAACATAGGCCCTTCGGTGCAAAATTTACATAAAATCGAAAGAAAAAAAATATATAAGAACTATATCAAAATCTGAACCGATTTCAACACACGTTATCACGAATCGGACGAAACTATATATGGGAGCTATATCTAAATCTGAACCAAATTTAACAAAACTTCGCAGATATCAGTCTGGACCTAATTCAGTACTCTGTGCAAAATGTTGCCCCAATCGGACAAATATTGGGTGTTTGGTGTATCATTCACAAAAAATCGGACGAAACTATATATGGAAGCTATATATAAATCTGAACCGAATTTAACAAAACTTTGCAGATATCAGTCTGGACCTAATTCAGTGCGCTGTACAAAATTTTGCCCCAATCGGACAAATATTGGGTGTTTGGTGTATCATTCACAAAAAATCGAACGAAACTATATATGGGAGCTATATATAAATCTGAACCGATTCCAACAAAATTTCGCATACATATGTATGGACCTGATTCAGAGCGTTGTACAAAATGTTTCCCCAATCGGGCAAATATTGGGAGTTTGGCGCATAATTCACATAAAACCGGACGAAACTATATTTGGGAGCTATATCTAAATCTGCACAGATTTTCTCCAATTTCAATAGAGTTGGGCCAAATAAGTGAACTGTGCCAAATTTCATCCAAATCGGATCAAATCAACTTATACTTTGTTAACAAAAATACGTGGAAGGACGGACGACGGACAGGCAGACGGACATGGGTAAATCGACTCAGAAATTAACTCTGTATATTCTCAGAAGGAACCATAGGTCTATCTCGATTCCTTTTGTCTGTTACAAACATATGCACAAAGACATAATACCCTTTACCACAGTGTGGGGAAGGGTATAAATATCATTTAAAACCAGTAAGGAAAGTTCAAAAGTCGGACGGGGCCGACTATATGATACCCTTCACCACATGTTAGTATCTACAATATCCTGTAGATATAGAAATTTCGGGGCCTAATTCAGTACTCTGTGCAAAATTTTGTCTCAATCGGATAAATATTGGCAGTATGGAGCTTCATTTACATAAAATGGGACGAAACTATATATAGCAGCTATGTCTAAATCTGAACCGATTCCAACAAAATTTCACATACATCAGTCGGGATCTAATTCAGTACTCTGTGTAAATCTGAACCGATTTTCTCCAATTTCAAATCGGATCATAAATGGGACCTGGACAGAACTCGACGTACTAAATTGCAGTCAATTCGGTCGAAAAATACGATCAGAACCCCCAAAATACCAACAATTTGGGGGTACCGTTATATGGGGACTACCAGAAAAACTGGACCTATATTTATAATTTTTAGTGGAGTAATTTGGTACCCAATAAGAACCCAATGTACAAAATTTCAGAGAATTCAATTATAAAACGAGCTCAAGAACCCCAAAATACCGAAAATTGGGTCCAGTTTTTTGAACCTATATTTATAATTTTTAGTAGGGAGATTTGCTACCCAATAATAACTCAAAGTACCAAATTTCAGCGAATTCGGTCAAAAAATGCGATCAAAACCCCCAAAATACCGAAAATTGGGGGGTACCCTTATATGGGAGCTATGCCTAAACGTAGACCGATTTCCTCCAATTTCAATAGGGTTCGTCCTTGAGCCAATTAAGTGACATGTGCCAAATTTCATCCAAATCGGATCATAAATGCGACCTGTACTTTGTTAACAAAAATACATGGGCGGACAGACGGACATGCATAAATCGACTCAGAAAGTGATTCTATGCATATTCTCAAAAGGAACCATGGGTTTATCTCGATTATTTTTGCCTGTTACAAACATATGCACAAAGGCATAATACCCTGTACCACAGTGTGGTGATGGGTATAAAAATCCATACCTTAGGTGGTCATTAAAAAAAAAATCGCGCCTTAGGTTGCTTGATATTTTTCATTATTTGATGCCTCTATTTTTATTCTCCGATTTATTTCCTAATACCACAATAACGTATTGCGTCTACCAACGCTATGTTCCTCACATTACCAAAATTAACTGATATCCCTTATTGATACCATAATTAGCTATTATTAACTTGTCAATTATTTTGTTCGCAACATTTTTGCCCCCAATTAACATCACTATTACATTTCTCATTTTTGTTGGTGTTGTTCTTTCTTTCCATTACAGGTAACCGTCGTCTATGGCATCATTTTTATCTCAGCACTCGTGGGTAATGTTCTAATTTGTGTCGTTATCGTCCGACACGAGTCCATGCATTCGGCCACAAATTATTATCTCTTCAGTTTGGCGGTCTCGGATCTCATTTTCCTCATATTTGGTAAGTCGAGAATTTTTCCACATAACCTTGCAAACCAACTCGGTTATCTTATCTAAATAATTTGCTGTTGATTTGAATGTTGTTGATAATAGATAACATTTGTCTTTAGTAATATTATTTAGATTACTGATAATTATTTAAATGAGATACTATAAAAAATCCCATTTCTTCAAAATTTGTTGTAAGGTATTTGGTTTTCAATTACTCTAAAAATAGAACTCATCATTTAATTACTTCATAAAATAACAAATATTTTTAAAGTTTGGTTCATAACCTCACATTCCATCACTTCATTTAAATATTATTTTAATATACGTTCAATATTATACACATACACACACACACCCAATCGCATTGAATAACTTTTCTAGAAAATAGTTTATTTATTGAATGCCAACTGCGAACTCAGTCACTTTGATAGTTAGTAATGCCGCAATTTCCTTTGACTTTTCCTACCCTCATGGATTTTTTAAATCAATTTCCTTCAAAACTATTCAATTCGAGAGAATATAAAAAATAAAATTGAAACTTAAAGCGCTTTGAAATGCACATATGGATGGTGATTGGAAAAAAACCAAGCCTAAGGTAGATGCTTAAGAAATATTTTAAAAAATCCACGCCTCAGGTAGATGCTAAAAATATTTTAAAACCAGTGAGCGGAGCAGTATAGTCGGACGGAGCCGACCATACGATACCCTACACAACTACCACGGAACTTTAACTTCCTGCGAATTTTTATTCCGAGTCTGGGCAATATCTCGTGACAGTTGCACCCTCTTGACCGACTAGAGGTCAACAAATATCACTAATATTCAGTACAGTCCTTCTAATTACTTGTTCAGTTACCCTTCAACGTGGCTTGTGTTGTGATGTTCGGCTTTCAATTGTGACCTATAGATCGACTCGAAAAAACACAAAAAAAATGTTCGGTCGAATTCATACCAATATTATTATCTGATCATCACCGAAAATTATAGACGTTGTCCTTGATCTGGATCCTCATGGAAAATTTCAAAGCGACCAGAACTATATTTCCGCCCTCTAGTGTGGTAATGGGTTACTAAATACTATATGAATACGTAAGCACCTGTAAATATTTAAGGGTAACTCCCACATCCGAGTACATATGGCAATATAATTGGTATAAATTTAAAGGTCAAGCACTCCTCTTGGATATAGTACACTTCTATACTTCTCGGGTCAATGTCCTTCAGGAGTAATTATATACGCTATAAAATACAAATTTTGTATTTTTTCAGGGTTCATTTGTCTCGCTAAATGTTGACCGATCTTCATGAAAACAGGGATACTTAGTCTTTGGCCCGACCCCCTTCTCCATGTAAAAATGAGCGATCAGAAAATCACACGAAAATAAAGTTGTTGGTCCATTTCATCCCCTAAATATTAACCGATCTTTCCCAAAATAGGGGTCTTCATTGGCCAGAGTCCATCCTACATGCAAAATTTCGTGAAGATTGGTCCATAACTGTGGCCTGTATCGTGTTTACAAATTATAATGGACAGACGGACGGACACACGTCGAGATATGACAACTTAGTTGTGTAGAGTATAAAAATGCTAAAAAAAAGAATTTAAACCAGTAAGGAAAGTAGTAAAGTCGGACGGGGCCGACAATATGATACCCTTCACCACTATGGGTATATTTAAAAGATGCATCCTAATAGAAGGGCTATTAACATGAAAGTGGATGAACTAACATATTTGATCTTCATCTAAATGTCAACCGACTTAGATCAATCCAAAAACATGTAATTCGTTTCTTACAAAATCGATTTAAAGCAAATATCAATCGGGCACCCCAAAATATATATGGCCTATATCTGTACTTCTACACGCGATTAAGTCATTCTATTTTGATAAAACATGAAGAGTTTGGTGCACCATTTACTTAAAATCGGATGGAACTATATATGGAGGCTATATCCAAATATGAACCGATTTCAATGAAAATTGTCACAGGTTAGGTTAGATTAATTTCAGCACGTTTTTTTCCTAATGGACACATTTTGGGTCCATGGATCCTACATAAAATCAGACGAAAATATATGGGAGCTATATCTAAATCTGGACGTATTCCAACAAAATTGACACACATTTGGCTATACTATCTGAAGTACGTTATGCTAAGTTTTGTGTCAATCGGCCTAACTTTGAGTCTTTGGTGCACCATTTATTTAAAATCGGAAGAATGTATATATGGGAGCTATATCTAAATCCGAACTGATTTCAGCACAATTTGACTCATGTTATACAAACTTTAGTACGTCATGCATAACTGTGTGGCAACCGGCCTAACTTTGGGTCTTAAAATCGGACAATTTTCATGAAACTTTACACACATCATTCTAGACTCAATTCAGTACGCTATGCCAAATTTCGTGGAAATCGAAAGACATATAAGGACGTTGGTGAACCATTTCCATTAAATCGGACGAAAATATATATGGGAGCGATATCTAAATCTGAACCGATTTTCACGAAACTTAGAACACATCATTCTAGACTCAATTCAGTACGCTATGCCAAATTTCGTGGAAATTGAAAGATATATAGAGACTTTGGTGAGCCATTATATTAAATCGGTCGAAAATATATATGGGAGCTATATCTAAGTTTGAACCGATATTCAGGAACTTTGCACACATCATTCTAGACTCAATTCAGTACGCTATGCCAAATTTCGTGCAAATCGGAAGATATATAGGGTCTTTCGTACACCATTTACACCTAAGTCTGTTTTTACACGGTCTTTTTGTACACTGTTTTGATATAACACGGTTTGAAAATTGAATATTTTTAATTTTTTTTACACGATTTAATTTCATTTAGCACGATTTGAAATTTTATGTACTTAATTTTTTTTCAAATTTAATTTTTGCGAAGTATGTTCATATCACAAAAAAGTATTTAATAAAGAAAAAAAGTCTGAAACCATCGATAGTATCGATAGTTTGCGAACACTATCTTAAAGATATAAGTGAATTCCCCTTTAGCGCGTACAAACAATTTTTACTGGTCAAAGCAAATGTGAATTGCACTAATTTAGGGGAATTCCCTTTATGTATAAGATCAATGTCTTTTTTAACACGGTTTTTTTTACACGGCTTCTTCTGGAACCAATCGAATAAAACAGACTTAGGTGTACCTTAAATCGGACTAAAATATATATGGGAGCTATATCTAAATCTGAACCAATTCATCCCAATTTCAATACGGTTCGTCCTTGGGCCAAATAGAAGAGCTATGACAAATTTTATCCAATTCTGATCATACATGCGACATGTAATTTGTTCATAATTTAACATGGTCAGACTGACGGACATGCATAAATCGACTCAGAAAATGATTCTATGATTATTTTCAAAACGAACCATGTGTCCTTTTGCCTGTTACAAACATATGTATGTGCATAGACATAATACTTTGTACCACAGTCTGGTGAAGGGTATCAAAATCCACGCCTAAGGTAGATGCTAAGGTAAGATATATATTTTTTTCAAGAAACAACTAAGCGTAGAATTATTAAAAGGTTTGAGTTAGATGCTTTAAAAAATATTTTTTTGAATAAAGATATTTAAAAATGCACTCCAAAAGTTAGATTAAATTAAAGGTAATCGACAAGAACAATTTATTTCCTATATATATATATATATTTTTTTTTTTAATAGTAAATCTCACACTCTACCAACAAAAACATTAATTGATTGCTGACCTCTTCTGTAGGTTTTATTTTCTTAAAGGAAATGACTAACCCTTTGATTGTCTATCTGACTTTAATACCCTGCAGGGTATTTTTCTTTTTCTCCTCCATCGTTTATTTTATAAACCAACAGTGATGTGTAGGATTTATGAACCGAACGAAATCAATTTGTTTGGTGGGGGGGTGGTGGCCATCAATGAACATATTCATATTCATGTATCCCTCGTATGCCGTTTTTGTGGAACCCGATGTGTCGGAATTTATGTCTAAGTGAAATTCCAGAGAAAAACAATGTATCATATCCTGACATTGGCAATACAATAAAAACCAAATGCTGCAGGAAAATATATGCATATACATATGTACATGTGTACGTATGGCGGCACTCAATAAAAAAGGGAATATGTAATTTTATCCCACAAACAAGGGAGTGTGTTTTTCATTTTTTTCAGCTCTAGCTATAAGAGATGCTTTTTTGAATGTGTCAAAGAATATTTACTAATTTTTTTTAAATATTTTTTCATGGACCAAATATAGGCGTTAATTTCTAAAAAATATTTTTTCATGTAGTGGATTCTTAAAAATGTCGTTTACGGGTGCGGATTTGGTTATAACAATTTACTAGCCAAGGCAAGCGTTAGCGATATTTTTTAATACATTTCCTTACTTTAATCTATGCGAATTTTTATTACAAATAGTAGTAGTATTCAACATATAGTAGCGGATATGTTGAATATACATACATACACACATATTCATAATGATTTTTCCGTGTAACCCCCAGTGTATGAGATGTTGTAAAACAATATTATTAAAGTGTAATATTTCAAACATATGACAGAGTCGACAGTAGCTAAAAAAAATAAATAAATCGTAAAATATTTTTTAAAGTAATATCTTTACCCACCTCCTAAAGTTATATGAGCGCACTAAAAGTGACTTCATAAAACTAAAAAAGGACATTTGTTCACATAAATATTTAACATAATCCTTAATATCAAATTTATCAAAACTTGTATGAAAACTATAAATTCGATCCCTCTCATATTGCTGTTTAATTAAAAGCTAACCCAACAGCCTCTATGAAAAATAATTTAAAAACCAGTATGGAAAGTAGTAAAGTCGGACTGGGCCAACTATATGATACCCTTCACCACTTTGGGTATATTTTAGATATGAATCCTAACAGACGACGCGTTTTGTTATAAATCTGTATCTGAACCGATTTCAGGGAAACTTGCCAGAGACTAATTTATATAACATCAGTACGTTGTGTCAA